CTGGCTGCCACTGAGGCTGCCTGGCCAAGAGCAGCCCCAGGAGCAGCAGGCAGAGGCAAAGCAAGGTGGGCAGGAGGAAGAGTGGGAACGAGATTGCCCTTGAAAGGCAGACATGCTCTGGGGCCTGCTCCTGGCCAGGCAGCCCCTGTGGGAGCCAGCATTGGCTGCAGCACAAGTGGGCTCCCCAGGACAAGGCCCAGCAATTCGTAGGCCAATGAAAGCCCCAGGCAGCAGCAGAACTCTCAGCAGGGTTATTTGGGAAACCACTGGCTACCCACAAGTCCACAGCAGCCTCCCTGGAAATGTTTCCTGTCTGCAATAGGCTTTCAAAAGAAGCTGTTGGAGGGAAAGATGAACAAAACACTCACCGTTTTCTCTTGCAGGCATACCAGATTCCAAAGCAGCACAACATGAAGATAATCTCCAAACAAAGTACGCCTGCTATTAGCTCTATCCAGCAGAACATTCCCTGACAGAAAGCCCTTTCAATGACCTTCTGGGAATCAGGAACTTGTGTTGTGCTGGCTGCATCTACGGAAGCAATGGGCAGTGTGAGTCCGTGCTGTGCTGCACTGCTGAGCTGGCAGCATGCTGGGTATGTCCCGTACATTCTCTGTTTCCCCCAGGGCTGGGGCCTGCAGGCACCTTGCTGCCCCTTGGCACAGGCTGTGCCACCCAACAGAGCCCAGAAGGCCGGGAGCACAGCCCAGGGACAGCGCAGCTGCTTGGGCAGTGGCTCCCTCCAGGGACACGGGCCAAAGCCATCCCTGAGCAGCCAGAGGCACCCCTGACCCTCCCTGCTCTGTGACAGCTCCCCCAGCCCAAGGGGACAGAGCCAGGCCCTGTCAGGAGCCAGTGCAGGCCCTTCCCAGTTGGGAGCCAGGGCTGGCTGTGGCCCTGGGCTCTCAGCAGGGCTCCCACTCGGAGCTGCTCCTGTGCCTTGGGCCTCTGGGTCCCACTCGGAGCTGCTCCTGTGCCTTGGGCCTCTGGGCACTCAGGGCCAGCTCTGGGAGCAGCTGCAGAGGGAGTGATGTTGGTGCATGAGTCCCATTTCCCAAGGGCTGGGAACGAGCTCCGGAGGCCTTGGAGCTGAGGCACCTCCAACTTTGGCTGCTGCTGGGCCGTACATGGGCTGGCCCTGGGGGGAGAGCTGCTGGCACACAGCCCCACTGAGGGCTGAGCCCAGCACAGCAATTACCTCCTGTGTCTGGGGCTGTCCCTGGCATCGTCTTCTTTCCTGTGGCAGAGGCTGCCAATGAACCACTGCTTGCTCTGCGAAGTGCCTCCTTGTGCTTAGGCTGTTGGTCCATCACTTGAGGAAGGAAGAAGGACAGCTGGATCAGATGGAAATATTCTCCACATGGGAGGTAGCATCTTCAAGAGGTAATGCATGTCAAAATCACAGGTTAAGATCAGGAAAATGTCCAGGCTGTTGGGGCTGGGCCAAAGCACTCCCCCCTGCAAACAGCTGCCCCTCCTGGTCTGCCCCAAGATCAGGAAATTGCAGGGGATCTCAGGGTGTGCATGGCCCATGCTGCAGTTTGGGCTCCCTGTCAGCTGATGCCAAATGCCTTCCTGCAGAGGCTGGGGAGAAGCTGCAGCCAGGCCAGGCTGGGGAGCAGCCCTGCAGGCTGTGAAAGCAGCAGAGGGGAAGTGAGGCTGCCATGGATCCCTTCCTGCTGTGCTGGGCACGGCGTGTCCAGATGTGCAGAGAAAGCCCCCGGGTGCTGAGACTCAGGAGAAGGATGAGGGACACGGACCCACCCTGTGCTCCCTGCATTTCTTTCTCTGTTGGTCTCAGTTAATCATTTGATGATAGAGACTTTTTGGGTCCAGTATCATGGATCTTTCTTTTTGGAGAACCTTAACACAAAGTATTTCAATTTCCCAGGAATGGATCCAAAAAAAACCAGTCCCCACCCTGTGGTGTCAGCAGGGACACACCACTTACCCCTGCGATGGGAGCCGGGCTTGTCTGCAGTAAGCATCCCAGGAGCTGGCAAACCGCTCCCTGCAGACACACCTGTAACTAAACAGCCACAGAAGCTTCTCTCATCTCTGCTGATCTGCACAGGCAGCACTGAGCTGCAGGAGAGGTGAGGGGATCACACAGTCCAAGGGCACACACGTGCACGGCTCTGTCCTGGCACCTGCAGCGATGCTGCCCTGGCCGAGCTCTGGGCTCTGAGCTGGCCGCTCTCCCTGGGGGAAAGGCCTTGACCTACCCTCACCACCTCCCTGACGCTCAGTCCTGGGTGTGAGTTGTGAAGCTGCATCGCCTGCACCAAGACCCTTGGCTGCAAAGAAAGGCAGGACAGAACAGCTGCTGTGGCTCTGTAGGAGATTCTCAGGCTCCCTGGGGCCTGCAAAGGAGCCATGCACGGCTCAGCCCTGGGCCTGGCCCCTTCCCTCCCTGCTCCTCTCCTGCACAGAGCACATGGAAGGAGACACTGGTATTGCACATGGGAAGAAGATTGACAGCTAAATGCTCCTTCCTCCCACTGACAGCAATCCTGTGGGATCACTCCAGGCTGCAGGAGGCAGTGGGGCAAGATTTCCAGAATCCATCCCCTCTGAGATTATGTTAAGGGAAATGGCACGTGGCTGAGCTCTTGCCACCTTGACATTGATTATTCTGTAAGTAAAAAGGGAATTGAGAACTTGCCTCCAACATCCTCCAAGAATTTTAAGGTATTTTCCACCAGGGCTTCCACATAATCCATATCACGATCCCAATCTACAATGGAGCACACATGAGAACCCTTTTCAGTCCATTCTGGGATCCCCTTCTGCCTTAGGGGACTGGGCACTGCAAGGGGTTTGGGTAAGGCCATGAGAGCCATGTGTCAATGGACAGGGCCAAATGTGCAGAGGGGCCTGGGGGGCTCTGGGCTGGCTCCTGGTCACTCTCCACCCTCTTTCCGTGCCCTGTGCAACATCCCTGGAGAGGAAAGTGGGGCAGCCGGGGGCTCCTGGGAGCTCTCTCCCCTCCCAAAGAGAAAACCCTCCCTAAAGCCCTGGGGAAAACAGCAGCAGGCAGTGCCACAAATATCCCTTCCCCGCTCCATCCGTCCTGCCCTCTCTCTGCTGGGACAGCTCCCCCAGCCCAAGGGGACAGAGCCAGGCCCTCTCAGGATGCAGGAGCCTTGACCTCCCCCTCTGCCCTTTCCCCACCATGGGCACCCTTTTGCAGCCACTGCTGGGTTTTGGGACGTGTCTCCCATGCAGGGAGCCCAACAGGACTGCTCAGTAGCCAAGTGCCCTGAGCCTGCTGGGGATAATTCCTCTGGGCTGTGCCGGTCTTGTCCAGGCTGTGCCTGCACTGCCAAGCAGCAGAGATGGCAGCTGAAGCCTCAGCAGGGCTCAGGCCCAGAGGCACAGCAATTACCTCCTAGGACTGTGCCTGGCATGGCCTCCCTTCCTGCAGCAGAGGCTGCCAGTGAACCACTGCTTCCTCCGGGAAACACTGCCTTCAGCACAACCTCTTCTTCCACTTCTGCAGAAAGGAAGAGGCAGAGCTGGATCAGATGGAAACATTCCCCATTGGGGAGGTGGCATCTTCAGAAGGCAATGCTTGTCAAAGGCATGGTTAAAGATCAGGAAAATGTCCAAGCTCTTGGGGCTGGGCCAAAGCACTCCCTCCTGCAAACAGCTGCCCCTCCTGGTCTGCCCCAAGATCAGGGAATTGCAGGGGATACTCAGGGTGTGCATGGCCTTTGGTGCACTTGGGGCTCCCTGCCAGCTGATGCCAAATGCCTTCCTGCAGAGGCTGGGGAGAAGCTGCAGCCAGGCCAGGCTGGGGAACAGCCCTGCAGGCCGTGAAAGCAGCAGCAGGGCAATGAGGCTGCCATGGATCCCTTCCTGCTGTGCCGGGCACGGCGTGTCCAGATGTGCAGAGAAAGCCCCCGGCTGCTGAGACTCAGGAGAGAGCTGAGGGACATGGACCCACCTTGTCCTCCCTGAAGCATTTCCTTCAGCATTTTCCACATGACTTCAAATCGCTCCTGGGATTTCTTGTCTGAGGTGTATTTGGTCTTTTCTGTTGGAGGAACTTAAGAAGAAATATTTCAGCCTCCCAGGAATGGATCCCAGAAAAGCAGTGCTCAGGCTGTGGGGTCAGCAAGGACACCCTACTCACCGCTGGGATGGGAGCCAGGCTTGTGTGCAGCATCCAGCCCAGGGGCTGGAGAAATCCTTTCTTCAGACACACCTGTAACTAAACAGCCACAGAAGCTTCTGTCAGCTGGTGCCTGCCAGGTTGTCAATGAATATTCCTTGGTGGGACAGTGAGAACACACCTGTAGGTGGCCCAGAGGGCTTCAAAACTTCATACCACCAGGCTAATGGAGGAGCCTTGCCAGCATCCGAATCTAGAAATAAACCAAGATAAGAATCATTCCCATTGTGTGCCAGGGCTGGCTGTGGCCCTGGGCTCTCAGCAGGGCTCCCACTCGGAGCTGCTCCTGTGCCTTGGGCCTCTGGGCACTCAGGGCCAGCTCTGGGAGCAGCTGCAGAGGGAGTGATGTTGGTGCATGAGTCCCATTTCCCAAGGGCTGGGAACGAGCTCCGGAGGCCTTGGAGCTGAGGCACCTCCAGCTTTGGCTGCTGCTGGGCCGCACATGGGCTGGCCCTGGGGGGAGAGCTGCTGGCACACAGCCCCACTGAGGGCTGAGCCCAGCACAGCAATTACCTCCTGTGTCTGGGCCTGTCCCTGGCATCGTCTTCTTTCCTGTGGCAGAGGCTGCCAATGAACCACTGCTTGCTCTGCGAAGTGCCTCCTTGTGCTTAGGCTGTTGGTCCATCACTTGAGGAAGGAAGAAGGACAGCTGGATCAGATGGAAATATTCTCCACTGGGGAGGTAGCATCTTCAAGAGGTAATGCATGTCAAAATCACAGGTAAAGATCAGGAAATTGTCCGGGCTGTTGGGGCTGGGCCAAAGCACTCCCCCCTGCAAACAGCTGCCCCTCCTGGTCTGCCCCAAGATCAGGAAATTGCAGGGGATCTCAGGGTGTGCATGGCCCATGCTGCAGTTTGGGCTCCCTGTCAGCTGATGCCAAATGCCTTCCTGCAGAGGCTGGGGAGAAGCTGCAGCCAGGCCAGGCTGGGGAGCAGCCCTGCAGGCTGTGAAAGCAGCAGAGGGGAAGTGAGGCTGCCATGGATCCCTTCCTGCTGTGCTGGGCACGGCGTGTCCAGATGTGCAGAGAAAGCCACTGGCTGCTGAGTCTCAGGAGAAAGCTGAGGGACACGGACCCACCCTGTGCTCCCTGCATTTCTTTCTCTGTTGTTCTCAGTTAATCATTTGAGGATAGAGACTTTTTGGTTCCAGTATCTTGGATCTTTCTTTTTGGAGGATCTTTCTTTTTAACATATCGGATCTTTCTTTTTAACAGAAAATATTTCCATTTCCCAGGAATGGATCCCAAAAAAACCAGTCCCCAGCCTGTGGGGTCAGCAGGGACACACCACTTACCCCTGCGATGGGAGCCGGGCTTGTCTGCAGTAAGCATCCCAGGAGCTGGCAAAGCGCTCCCTGCAGACACACCTGTAACTAAACAGCCACAGAAGCTTCTCTCATCTCTGCTGATCTGCACAGGCAGCACTGAGCTGCAGGAGAAGTGAGGGGATCACACAGGCCAAGGGCACACACATGCACGGCTCTGTCCTGGCACCCGCAGCGATGCCGCCCTGGCTGAGCTCTGGGCTCTGAGCTGGCCGCTCTCCCTGGGGGAAAGGCCTTGACCTACCCTCACCACCTCCCTGAGGCTCAGTCCTGGATGTGGGTTGAGGAGCTGCATCACCTGCACCAAGAGGCTTGGCTGCAAAGAAAGGCAGGACAGAACAGCTGCTGTGGCTCTGTAGGAGATTCTCAGGGTCCCTGGGGCCAGCAAAGGAGCCCCGCACGGCTCAGCCCTGGGCCTGGCCCCTTCCCTCTCTGCTCCTCTCCGTGGCTGCACAGAGCACACAGAAAGAGACACTGGCATTGCATATGGGAAGAAGATTGACAGCTAAATGCTCCTTCCTCCCACTGACAGCAATCCTGTGGGATCACTCAAGGTTGCAGGAGGCAGTGGGGCAAGATTTCCAGAATTCATCCCCCCTGAGATTATGTTAAGGGAAATGGCACGTGGCTGAGCTCTTGCCACCTTGACATTGATTATTCTGTAAGTAAAAAGGGGAATTGAGAACTTGCCTCCAACATCCTCCAAGAATTTCAAGGCATTTTCCACCAGGGCTTCCACATAATCCATATCACGATCCCAATCTACAATGGAGCACACATGAGAACCCTTTTCAGTCCATTCTGGGATCCCCTTCTGCCTTAGGGGACTGGGCACTGCAAGGGGTTTGGGTAAGACCATGAGAGCCATGTGTCAATGGACAGGGCCAAATGTGCAGAGGGGCCTGGGTGGCTCTGGGCTGGCTCCTGGTCACTCTCCACACTCTTTCCATGCCCTGTGCAGCATCCCTGGAGAGGAAAGTGGGGCAGCCAGGGTCTCCTGGGAGCTCTCTCCCCTCCCAAAGAGAAAACCCTCCCTAAAGCCCTGGGGGAAACAGCAGCAGGCAGTGCCACAAATATCCCTTCCCAGCTCCATCCCTCCTGCCCTCCCTCTGCTGGGACAGCTCCTACAGGCCAAGGGGATGGAGCCAGGCCCTCTCAGGATGCAGTGGAGCCTTGACCTCCCCCTCTGCCCTTTCCCCACCATGGGCACCCTTTTGCAGCCACTGCTGGGTTTTGGGACGTGTCTCCCATGCAGGGAATCCAACAGGACTGCTCAGTAGCCAAGTGCCCTGAGCCTGCTGGGGATAATTCCTCTGGGCTGTGCCGGTCTTGTCCAGGCTGTGCCTGCACTGCCAAGCAGCAGAGATGGCAGCTGAAGCCTCAGCAGGGCTCAGGCCCAGAGGCACAGCAATTACCTCCTGGGACTGTGCCTGGCATGGCCTCCCTTCCTGCAGCAGAGGCTGCCAGTGAACCACTGCTTCCTCCGGGAAACACCGCCTTCAGCACAACCTCTTCTTCCACTTCTGCAGAAAGGAAGAGGCAGAGCTGGATCAGATGGAAACATTCCCCATTGGGGAGGTGGCATCTTCAGAAGGCAATGCTTGTCAAAGGCATGGTTAAGGATCAGGAAAATGTCCAAGCTCTTGGGGCTGGGCCAAAGCACTCCCTCCTGCAAACAGCTGCCCCTCCTGGTCTGCCCCAAGATCAGGAAATTGCAGGGGATACTCAGGGTGTGCATGGCCTGTGGTGTACTTGGCCTGTCAGCCAATGCCAAATGCCTTCCTGCAGAGGCTGGGGAGAAGCTGCAGCCAGGCCAGGCTGGGGAACAGCCCTGCAGGCCGTGAAAGCAGCAGCAGGGCAGTGAGGCTGCCATGGATCCCTTCCTGCTGTGCCGGGCATGCCGTGATGTGATGTGCAGAGAAAGCCCCCGGCTGCTGAGACTCAGGAGAAAGCTGAGGGACATGGATCCACCTTGTCCTCCCTGAAGCATTTCCTTCAGCATTTTCCACATGACTTCAAATCGCTCCTGGAATTTCTTGTCTGGGGTGTATTTGGTCTTTTCTGTTGGAGGAACTTAACAAGAAATATTTCAACCTCCCAGGAATGGATCCCAGAAAAGCAGTGCTCAGGCTGTGGGGTCAGCAAGGACACCCTACTCACCGCTGGGATGGGAGCCAGGCTTGTGTGCAGCATCCAGCCCAGGGGCTGGAGAAATCCTGTCTGCAGACACACCTGTAACTAAACAGGCACAGAAGCTTCTGTCAGCTGGTCCCTGCCAGGTTGTCAATGAATATTCCTTGGTGGGACAGTGAGAACGCACCTGTAGGTGGCCCAGAGGGCTTCAAAACTTCATACCACCAGGCTAATGGAGGAGCCTTGCCAGCATCTGAATCTAGAAGTAAACCAAGATAAGAATCATTCCCATTGTGTGCCAGGGCTGGCTGTGGCCCTGGGCTCTCAGCAGGGCTCCCATTCGGGGCTGCTCCTGTGCCTTGGGCCTCTGGGCACTCAGGGCCAGCTCTGGGAGCAGCTGCAGAGGGAGTGATGTTGGTGCATGGGTCCCTTTTCCCAGGGACTGGGAATGAGCTCCAGAGGCCTTGGAGCTGAGGCACCTCCAGCTTCGGCTGATGCTGGGCCGTACATGGGCTGGCCCTGGGGGGAGAGCTGCTGGCACACAGCCCCACTGAGGGCTGAGCCCAGCACAGCAATTACCTCCTGTGTCTGGGCCTGTCCCTGGCATCGTCTTCTTTCCTGCGGCAGAGGCTGCCAATGAACCACTGCTTGCTCTGGGAAGTGCCTCCTTGTGCTTTGCCTGTTGGTCCATCACTTGAGGAAGGAAGAAGGACAGCTGGATCAGATGGAAATATTCTCCATTGGGGAGGTAGCATCTTCAAGAGGTAATGCATGTCAAAATCACAGGTAAAGATCAGGAAATTGTCCAGGCTGTTGGGGCTGGGCCAAAGCACTCCCTCCTGCAAACAGCTGCCCCTCCTGATTTGCCCCAAGATCAGGAAATTGCAGGGGATCTCAGGGTGTGCATGGCCCATGCTGCAGTTTGGGCTCCCTGTCAGCTGATGCCAAATGCCTTCCTGCGGAGGCTGGGGAGAAGCTGCAGCCAGGCCAGGCTGGGGAGCAGCCCTGCAGGCTGTGAAAGCAGCAGAGGGGAAGTGAGGCTGCCATGGATCCCTTCCTGCTGTGCTGGGCACGGCGTGTCCAGATGTGCAGAGAAAGCCCCCGGGTGCTGAGACTCAGGAGAAGGCTGAGGGACACTGACCCACCCTGTGCTCCCTGCATTTCTTTCTCTGTTGTTCTCAGGAAATCATTTGACGATAGAGACTTTTTGGTTCCAGTATCTTGGATCTTTCTTTTTGGAGGACCTTAACAGAAATTATTTCTATTTCCCAGGAATGGATCGCAAAAAACCAGTCCCCAGCCTGTGGGGTCAGCAGGGACACAGCACTTACCCCTGCGATGGGAGCCAGGCTTGGGTGCAGTAGCCACCTCAAGATCTGGGGAAGCGCTCCCTGCAGACACACCTGTAACTAAACAGCCACAGAAGCTTCTCTCATCTCTGCTGATCTGCACAGGCAGCACTGAGCCGCAGGAGAGGTGAGGGGATCACACAGGCCAAGGGCACACACATGCACGGCTCTGTCCTGGCACCTGCAGCGATGCCGCCCTGGCCGAGCTCTGGGCTCTGAGCTGGCCGCTCTCCCTGGGGGAAAGGCCTTGACCTACCCTCACCACCTCCCTGAGGCTCAGTCCTGGGTGTGGGTTGTGAAGCTGCATCACCTTCACCAAGGGGCTTGGCTGCAAGGAAAAGTAGGTCAGAACAGCTGCTGTGGCTCTGTAGGAGATCCTCAGGCTCCCTGGGGCCTGCAAAGGAGCCACACAAGGCACAGCCCTGGCCCTGGCCCCTTCCCTCTCTGCTCCTCTCCATGGCTGCACAAAGCACATGGAAGGAGACACTGGCATTGCACATGGGAAGAAGATTGACAGCTAAATGCTCCTTCCTGCCACTGACAGCGATCCTGTGGGATCCCTTCGAGCTGCAGGAGGCAGTGGGGCAAGATTTCCAGAATCCATCCCCTCTGAGATTATGTTAAGGGAAATGGCACGTGGCTGAGCTCTTGCCAGCTTGACATTGATTATTCTGTAAGTAAAAAGGGAATTGAGAACTTGCCTCCAATATCCTCCAAGAATTTCAAGGTATTTTCCACCAGGGCTTCCACATAATCCATATCACGATCCCAATCTACAATGGAGCACACATGAGAACCCTTTTCAGTCCATTCTGGGATCCCCTTCTGCCTTAGGGGACTGGGCACTGCAAGGGGTTTGGGTAAGGCCATGGGAGCCATGTGTCAATGGACAGGGCCAAATGTGCAGAGGGGCCTGGGTGGCTCTGGGCTGGCTCCTGGTCACTCTCCACCCTCTTTCCGTGCCCTGTGCAACATCCCTGGAGAGGAAAGTGGGGCAGCCGGGGGCTCCTGGGAGCTCTCTCCCCTCCCAAAGAGAAAAACCTCCCTAAAGCCCTGGGGAAAACAGCAGCAGGCAGTGCCACAAATATCCCTTCCCAGCTCCATCCCTCCTGCCCTCTCTCTGCTGGGACAGCTCCTACAGCCCAAGGGGACAGAGCCAGGCCCTCTCAGGATGCAGTGGAGCCTTGACCTCCCCCTCTGCCCTTTCCCCACCATGGTCACCCTTTTGCAGCCACTGCTGGGTTTTGGGACGTGTCTCCCATGCAGGGAGCCCAACAGGACTGCTCAGTACCGAGTGTCCTGAGCCTGCTGGGGATAATTCCTCTGGGCTGTGCCGGTCTTGTCCAGGCTGTGCCTGCACTGCCAAGCAGCAGAGATGGCAGCTGAAGCCTCAGCAGGGCTCAGGCCCAGAGGCACAGCAATTACCTCCTGGGACTGTGCCTGGCATGGCCTCCCTTCCTGCAGCAGAGGCTGCCAGTGAACCACTGCTTCCTCCGGGAAACACTGCCTTCAGCACAGCCTCTTCATCCACTTCTGCAGAAAGGAAGAGGCAGAGCTGGATCAGATGGAAACATTCCCCATTGGGGAGGTGGCATCTTCAGAAGGCAATGCTTGTCAAAGGCATGGTTAAAGATCAGGAAAATGTCCAGGCTGTTGGGGCTGGGCCAAAGCACTCCCTCCTGCAAACAGCTGCCCCTCCTGGTCTGCCCCAAGATCAGGAAATTGTAGGGGATCTCAGGGTGTGCATGGCCTGTGGTGTACTTGGGGCTCCCTGTCAGCCAATGCCAAATGCCTTCCTGCAGAGGCTGGGGAGAAGCTGAAGCCAGGCCAGGCTGGGAAACAGCCGTGCAGGCTGTGAAAGCAGCAGCAGGGCAGCGAGGCTGCCATGGATCCCTTCCTGCTGTGCCGGGCACGGCGTGTCCAGATGTGCAGAGAAAGCCCCCGGCTGCTGAGACTCAGGAGAGAGCTGAGGGACATGGACCCACCTTGTCCTCCCTGAAGCATTTCCTTCAGCATTTTCCACATGACTTCAAATCGCTCCTGGAATTTCTTGTCTGAGGTGTGTTTGGTCTTTTCTGTTGGAGGAACTTAACAAGAAATATTTCAGCCTCCCAGGAATGGATCCCAGAAAAGCAGTGCTCAGGCTGTGGGGTCAGCAAGGACACCCTACTCACCGCTGGGATGGGAGTCAGGCTTGTGTGCAGCATCCAGCCCAGGAGCTGGAGAAATCCTGTCTGCAGACACACCTGTAACTAAACAGCCACAGAAACTTCTGTCAGCTGGTGCCTGCCAGGTTGTCAATGAATATTCCTTGGTGGGACAGTGAGAACGCACCTGTAGGTGGCCCAGAGGGCTTCAAAACCTCATACCGCCAGGCTAATGGAGGAGCCTTGCCGGCATCCAAATCTAGAAGTAAACCAAGATAAGAATCTGGCCACTGCAATGGGGCTGGGTAAGGCCGTGTGAGCCATATGTCAGTGGACATGGCCAAAGCTGCAGAGGGGCCAGGGGAGCTGTGGGCTGCCTCCTGGTCACTCTCAACACCCTTTCCATGCTCTGTGCAACATCCCTGAAGGGCAGGCACTGCCAAGCAGCAGAGATGGCAGCTCAAGCCTCAGCAGGGCTCAGGCCCAGAGGGACAGCAATTACCTCCTGAAACTGTGCCTGGCATGGCCTCCCTTCCTGCAGCAGAGTTAGGCACAGAATCACTGCTTCCTTCAGGGAATGTTTCCTGCTGCACAGGCACTTGTTTCATTCCTGGAGAATGGAAGAGGGACAGCTGGATCAGATGGAGCTGTTCCTCATTGCGGAGGTGCCATCTTCAGGAGGCAATATTTGTGAAAGGCATGGATAAGGATCTGCAAACACCCAGGATTTCAGGATTGTCCCAGGTTGGTCCTTTCTCCAAACAGCCCCTCGACCTGATCTAGCTGGAGACTGAGAAATTTCAGGGATTCTCAGGGTGTGCACGGCCTTTGGTGCTGTTTGGGCTCCCTGTCAGCTGATGCCAAATGCCTTCCTGCAGAGGCTGGGGAGAAGCTGCAGCCAGGCCAGGCTGGGGAACAGCCCTGCAGCAGCAGGGCAGTGAGGCTGCCATGGATCCCTTCCTGCTGTGCCGGGCACGGCGTGTCCAGATGTGCAGAGAAAGCCCCTGGCTGCTGAGACTCAGGAGAAAGCTGAGGGACATGGACCCACCTTGTCCTCCCTGCTTGAATTCCTTCAGCATTTTCCGTATGAGTTCTGATCGTTTCAGGGATTTCTCTTCTGCTGTATCTTGGGTCTTCTGTCTTGGAGAACCTTAGAGAAGAAGATTTCCATTTCCTGGCAATGGATCCCACAGAACCAGTCCTCAGCCTGTGGGGTCAGCAGGCACACACTACTCACTGCTGCGATGGGAGCCGGGCTTGGGTGCAGTAACCAGGTCAGGAGCTGGCAAAGTCCTCTCTGCAGACACACCTGTAACTGAACAGCCACAGAAGCTTCTGTCACCTGATTCCGGACAGGTTGTCAATGATTATTCCTCCATGGGACACTGAGAACATACCTGCAGGAGGCCCAGTGGGCTTCACAACATTATGCAGCCAAGCTAATAGAGAAACTTTGCCAGGAACCTTATCTGGAAGGGAGCAAAGATGAGAACCTTTTTCAGGGTGTGCTGGGATCCCCTTCTGCCTAAGGGAACTGGGCACTGCAATGGGGCTGGGTAAGGCCGTGTGAGCCACATCTGTCCTGAATGGACATGGCCAAAGCTGTAGAGGGGCCAGAGGAACTCTGGGCTGCCTCCTGGTCACTCTCAACACCCTTTCCATGCTCTGTGCAACATCCCTGAAGGGCAGACACTGCCAAGCAGCAGAGATGGCAGCTCAAGCCTCAGCAGGGCTCAGGCCCAGAGGCACAGCAATTACCTCCTGAAACTGTGCCTGGCATGGCCTCCCTTCCTGCAGCAGAGTCAGGCACAGAATCAATGATTCCTTCGGGAATGATTTCCTGCTGCACAGGCTCTCGTTTCATTCCTGGAGAATGGAAGAGGGACAGCTGGATCAGATGGAGCTGTTCCTCATTGCGGAGGTGCCATCTTCAGTAGGCAATATTTGTGAAAGGCATGGATAAGGATCAGCAAACACCCAGGATTTCAGGATTGTCCCAGGTTGATCCCTTCTCCAAACAGTCCCTCGACCTGATCTGCCCCAAGATCAGGAAATTGCAGCAGTTCTCAGGGTGTGCATGGACCATGCTGCAGTTTGGGCTCCCTGTCAGCTGATGCCAAATGCCTTCCTGCAGAGGCTGGGGAGAAGCTGCAGCCAGGCCAGGCTGGGAAACAGCCCTGCAGGGCATGAAAGCAGCAGCGGGGCAGCGAGGCTGCCATGGACCCCTTCCTGCTGTGCCGGGCACGGAGTGTCCAGATGTGCAGAGAAAGCCCCCGGCTGCTGAGTGTCAGGAGAAGGATGAGGGACACAGACCCACCTTGTCCTCCCTGCTGCATTTCCTTCAGCATTTGCCGTATAAGTTCAGATTGTCTCAGGGATATCTCTTCTGCTGTATCTTGGGTCTTCTCTCTTGGAGGACCTTAGAACAGAATATTTTCATTTCCCAGGAATGGATCCCACATAACCAGTGCTCAGCTTGTGGGGTCAGCAGGCACACATTACTCACTGCTGCGAAGGGAGCTGGGCTTGGGTGCAGTAACCAGGTCAGGAGTTGGGACAATCCTCCCTGCAGACACACCTGTAACTCAACAGCCACAGAAGCTTCTGTCACCTGATTCCTGACAGGCTGTCAATGATTATTCCTCCATGGGACACTGAGAACATACCTGCAGGACGCTCATAGGGTTTCACAACTTTATGCAGCCAAGCTATTGGAGAAACTTTGCCCCGAAACTTATCTGGAAGGGTGCACACATGAGAACCTATTTTAGGGTATTCTGGGATATCCTTCAGCCATAGGGAGCTGGGATTTGCAGTGGGGCTGGGTAAGGCCCTGGGAGCCAGGTGTCAATGGACATGGCCAAAGCTGCAGAGGGGCCAGGGGAGCTCTGGGCTGCCTCCTGGTCACTCTCAACACCCTTTCCATGCTCTGTGCAACATCCCTGAAGCGCAGGCACTGCCAAGCAGCAGCGATGGCAGCTCAAGCCTCAGCAGGGCTCAGGCCCAGAGGCACAGCAATTACCTTGTGTTACTGTGCCTGGCATGGCCTCCCTTCCTGCAGCAGAGTCAGGCACAGAATCACTGCTTTCTTCAGGGAATGTTTCCTGCTGCACAGGCACTTGTTTGATTCCTGGGGAATGGAAGAGGGACAGCTGGATCAGATGGAGCTGTTCCTCATTGCGGAGGTGCCATCTTCAGGAGGCAATATTTGTGAAAGGCATGGATAAGGATCAGCAAACACCCAGGATTTCAGGATTGTCCCAGGTTGGTCCCTTCTCCAAACAGCCCCTCGACCTGATCTAGCTGGAGACTGAGAAATTGCAAGGGTTCTCAGGGTGTGCATGGCCTGTGGTACAGTTTGGGCTCCCTGTCAGCTGATGCCAAATGCCTTCCTGCAGAGGCTGGGGAGAAGCTGCAGCCAGGCCAGGCTGGGAAACAGCCCTGCAGGCCATGAAAGCATCAGCGGGGCAGCGAGGCTGCCATGGATCCCTTCCTGCTGTGCCAGGCACGGCGTGTCCAGATGTGCAGAGAAAGGCCCCGGCTGCTGAGTGTCAGGAGAAGGATGAGGGACATGGACCCACCTTGTCCTCCCTGCTGCATTCCCTTCAGCATTTGCCGTATAAGTTCAGATTGTCTCAGGGATACCTCTTCTGGTGTATCTTGGGTCTTCTCTCTTGGAGGACCTTAGAACACAAGATTTCCATTTCCCAAGAATGGATTCCAAAAAAACAGTGCTCAGCTTGTGGGGTCAGCAGGGACACACCACTTACCCCTGCGAGGGTTAAGGTTGTCTCCAGTAACCATCCCAGGAGCTGGCAAAGTCCTCCCTCTAGACACACCTGTAACTAAACAGCCACAGAAGCTTCTCTCATCTCTGCTGATCTGCACAGGCAGCACTGAGCCGCAGGAGCTGTGAGGGGATCACGCAGGCCGAGGGCACACACGTGCACAGCTCTGTCCTGGCACCTGCAGCGATGCCGCCCTGGCCGAGCTCTGGGCTCTGAGCTGGCCGCTCTCCCTGGGGGAAAGGCCTTGACCTACCCTCACCACCTCCCTGAGACTCAGTCCTGGGTGTGAGTTGAGGAGCTGCATCGCCTGCACCAAGGGGCTTGGCTGCAAAGAAAGGCAGGACAGAACAGCTGCTGTGGCTCTGTAGGAGATCCTCAGGCTCCCTGGGGCCTGCAAAGGAGCCACACAAGGCACAGCCCTGGCCCTGGCCCCTTCCCTCTCTGCTCCTCTCCGTGGCTGCACAAAGCACAGGGAAGGAGACACTGGCATTGCACATGGGAAGAAGATTGACAGCTAAATGCTCCTTCCTCCCACTGACAGCAATCCTGTGGGATCACTCAGGGCTCCAGTGGGACAAGGTTTAAAAAACGTATCACCCCTGAGATTATGTTAAGGGAAATGGCACATGGCTGAGCTCCTGCCACCTTGACATTGATTGTTCTGTAAGTAAAAAGGGGAATTGAAAACTTGCCTCCAACATCCTCCAAGAATTTCAAGCCATCATTCATTACTTCCAGGTAATCCATGTGATGATTCCAATCTAGATTGGAGCACAGATCAGAACCATGTCCATGGCGCATTCTGGGATCCCCTTCTGCCTTAGGGGACTGGGCACTGCAAGGGGTTTGGGTAAGGCCTTGGCAGCCAGATGTCAATGGACATGGTCAGAGCTGCAGAGGGACCTGGGGAGCTGTGGTCACTCTCAACACCCTCTTTACAGTCCCTTTGCAACATCCCTGGCAGTGTGGCAGGAGCAGCCCAGGGCCCCTGGGGACTCTCTCCCTCCCACAGAGGAAACCCTCCCTTATGCTTTGGGGAAAACCATTCCCAACGCTTCCCAGGGAGAAGGGAGTGCTGTCCCGAGAAAGGGGAACCAGGCCGTGGGCTCACCTGCTCCCTGTGCTCGCCAGGGAGCAGCCTGGGCAGCCCTGTCAGGCAGGGCCACTGCCAGGAGGAGCAGGAGGAAGAGGCGCAGAGCAAAGGCCATGGTGCCTTGCCCACTGCCAGTCCTCCAACTCTTGCTGTCACCACTGTCCTGACACCGCTGTCCCAGTGTCAGCACCGCTGCCATAGCCGCCGCTGCTGCTGCAACAGTCGTAAAGGACTGACTGCTCCGTCCTTGTGGTGCTGTGCAACCACGGGGCTCTGCAACCTCTCTGACCTCAGAGCCTGCCGTGACCTCAACCTGTGTAACCCCAGAGCCTGCTGTGACCTCACAGCCTTGGCTGTACCCCTCAAGTGTTTTCCCATCTGACTGCCCTGATTGTAAATCTTTTACTTCATCAAAGGGCCATTGCTAAACAAAACCTTGGTTTTGCCTGCTGACATTGCTGGTCAGGTGTTGCTAGAGGACACGAACTATAGAACGAGGGTTCCAATCACACACAGCAACCAGAGTTTTTTTCAAGAGGCAAAAATCCTTTATTCTGGGGTTTTTCAACACTTTTATAAGGTGTTCTGATACAGGTTATCTTGACTGGTAGAAGGAACAAGACCTCCTTCATCCCACTGGTGGGACAAGAGAAAAACACTCTCAGAACATCTGTGTCTTGTTTTGGGAAACCAAAGCTTATTTTCATAAACAGTCCTTGAGAGAGAAAAACTCCTCAAAAGACTTTCTCTTGGGAACAATCAGCTCCCGAGAGCATGAAATTCTCTCAGGTTCCGAAAATCATGTCCACAGTCAGGCTGCGTCCCTGGTGTTGCTCTTGATGGTTTCCTGGGCACTCCAGTGGAGGAGGTTCAGGCTCAGGTGATGCCACTGAAGGAAATGTGCCCTCAGCCCAGGGATGCTCAGCTTGGACTCCCCCAGCCCCTCGGGGCCCCAGCGCTGGTCACAGCAGCCCCTGCCTGGCTCCTAGCACCGTGGTCAGCCCCAGCAGCTCCTGGACATGGACGTGGACAGCTCAGCTGTGGCTGGTGCTGTGTGGGCTTTGCTGGCGCTACCAGCCGGACACTGGGGTAACAGCTCCATCTCTTTATTGGAATGGATGAAGGGGCCATCACCTACACTGGCAGATGGGCTCACCTGCAGTGCTGTTTAGAGGGCAGGGCTAGGGGCCTCAGGGACAGAGGAAGGGCCATGTTGGTCTCAGGTGGGGCTGAAGGGTGCTGGGCTGGTCCTGGTGTCTCTACAAGAACTAAGGATTGGTCTAGGCTGGGGCAGAGGAAGACCAAAAAAGGGACTGAAGGGACCTTGGGGATACCCATGGGGAGAAGAGTTGACTGTGGGATCTACAGGGTTATAGGAGGATTCCTCCTGTTCTGGGATGGCTGCTCTGGGGTCCTCTTCTCAGAGCTCTTGAGAGAGCTGCCCAGGCCCTCATTACTGAAGAAGAGCTGCTCAAGCTGTCAGGGTGTTTAGTGCAGCCACTGTCATTCAAATGCTGTCCAGAAATGCTCCTGTGGAGAGAGGAGATGGCTGAGGCCCCCAGCTGCCGCTGGCACACAGAGACCCTCCTGCACAGCAGGGCCCAGAGCAGCCAAGGCTCCCCAGCACAGCTGCAGCTGCTGGCACAGCTTGGCCCAGCTGGAGAGCTGCCCCTCAAGGCCCCGGCGAGCAGGGGATGGCTCTGGGCAGCGTCCCTGGCCAGGAGCAGGCCCCAGAGCATGTCTGCCTTTCAAGGGCAATCTCTTCCCCTCTCTTCTTCCTCCTTGCCTTGCTTTGCCTCTGCCTGCTGCTCCTGGGGCTGCTCTGGGCCAGGCAGCCTCAGTGGCAGCCAGCACTGGCTGCAGCCCGAGCGGGCTCCGCAAGACAAGGCCCCGCAGTGAAGAGGCCAAAGAAAGGCCTGGGCAGCAGCAGCAGAACTCTCAGTGGAGTTATTTGGACAACCACTGACTACCCACAAGTCCACAGCAGTCTCACTGAGAATATTTCCTGTCTGCAATAGACTTTCAAAAGAAGCTGTTTGAGGGAAAAATGAACAAAACACTCACCGTTTTCTCTTCCAGGCATAGCAGATTCCAAAGCAGCACAACATGAAGACAAGCTCTCCACTCACTACCATGGCCATTATCTCTAGTCAGCAGCGTGTTCCCTGATAGAAAGCCCTTTCAATGTCCTTCTGGGAATCAGGAACATGAGTTGTGGTGCTGGCTCCATCTACAGAAGCATTGGGCAGTGTGAGCCCGTGCTGTGCTCTGCTGAGCTGACAGCACACTGGATACTTCCAGGATGTTCTCTGTTTGCCCCAGAGCTGGGGCCTACAGGCACCTTGCTGCCCCTTGGCACAGGCTGTGCCACCCAACAGAGCCCAGAAGGCCAGGAGCAGAGCCCAGGGACAGTGCAGCTGCCTGGGCAGTGGCTCCTTCCAGGGACATGGGCCGGACCCATTCCTGAGCAGCCACAGCCACCCCTGAACCTCTCTGCTCTGTGACTGCTCCCCCAGCAGCTCCTAACCCTGTCAGGAGCCAGTGCAGACCCTGCCCAGTTGGGAGCCAGGGCTAGCTGCCCTCATGGCAGGGCTCCCACTCAGAGCTGCTCCTGTGCCTTGGGCCTCTGGGCACTCCTGACCAGCTCCGGGAGCAGCTTTAGAGGGGTGATGTTGGTGCATGAGTCCCGTTTCTTGGGGCTGACCTTTGGGCTCTGCAGTGGCAGCTCTCCCAGTGGGAAAAGCCTTGACCTACCATCACCATCTCCCAGAGAATCACTCCTGGATCCCAGGGGCACAGTTCAGGACATGGGATAGTAAGCCAGATCACCTTCATTAACAGGCTCAGCTGCAAAGAAAGGCAGGACAGGACTGGTCCTAGACAGTGCTCAAGATTTTCGTTCAGTCCAGAGGGGCATGGAATGCACCTGGGTGACTGCTGCCCTCCAAGGCACTCCCTCATCTCTGCCTTCCACTCAGGAGCAGGGGCAGGGGGACCACGTGCCTGCAGTAGCCCCACACTGGGATGGAAGGAGCCCCTTGCATGGCAGTCAGGGGAGAAGCTGACTGGAGCTGCCAGCAGCTCTGAACTGAGCCTCAGGCAGGGCCAGAGCTTGGCAGCGGCAACAGGAGCAGCTCAGGCTCCCTGAGGCTGGCAGAGGAGCGACACAAGGCCCAGCCCTGGGGCCCAGCCCTGGGCCTGTCCCCTTCCCTCTCTGCTCTTCTCCGTAGCTGCACAGAGCAGACAGATGGAGACACTGGTGAAGAGAATATTTTAACAGAAGGTGGGCATGATATTTTAGTAAAGGCCTGTCTGCACAAACCAGCCTTTGGCATAAGTCATGATATTAAAGGCTAATGTCCTTGAAACTTTCCTGAAGCAGAGAGAATGAAACAAAACAATATCCTTGTGTATGAGAGAAAAAATGTAAACCAATGTGTATTAGCCAATAGTAACTTGCTTAGACCGCAGATACTGCAAACCCTTTAAAAGGTGCTAAAGATAGGAATAAATGGCGTTAACTTTTACTTCTGTGAAGACTCGTGAATAGTCTGGCGGTCTCTCAACATCTGGCTCTCTGAACAGGAACCTCTCACGGGCTGAGGGGATTCAGTAGTGGAGCTGGTGGAGCGGATCTGGGCGCTGGAAGCCGCGGACACGGATCGGTACCGAATAGGCGACCTGAGCGTGGTGAGACGCAGCACGGTGAGATGTGGAAAAAGGAGTCAGGTCACTGGGGGAGACTGAAGGTGGAGGAGTAAGTGAGGGGTCGTGACCCTCCCCCTGCCGGCAGCGAAAAAGCTGCTTCTGATTATTCTCATTAAACAAGGCAAAGCAGTCAGGGGATAAGACCTGGACAAGCTCGTTCTATGGGCTAGAGATAATAGGCGTGGGCGCCTGGAAGAATCGAAAAATATAGGAGATTTGTTGTGACAGAGAATAATTACAGGGAAAAGCAAGGACACTGTCTCTCAGTCCCACTTGGCAGATTGTAATTAATACCGAAAAGCAAGGACACTGTCTCTCAGTCCCACTTGGCAGATTGTAATTAATACCTTAAAAACCAGAAAAGCGAGATATGCTGAGGCTGTGAGCCCCGTAATTCTACCTGCGTCACAGCAGCAGATGTCTTTGCCTCCCTCTGCTGGGAGAGCATTCCTGTCTATGCCGTCCTTGGAGAGAGGGAGGGAGAGTCAAAGAGAAGAAAATAATGAGAAAGAAATTCCACAGCAAATGCTGAAACAACGAACAGAATCTTTTCAGCTATGGCAGGATGTGATACGTCCTGAACTATTTGCTTCCCTTTTGGAGACACTTTTAACACTACAGTCTTATTTAAGTTCCAACTTTATTACCCTGGAAGAAGAGAAGCCAAATTTAGATTGGTTTCTACCCAAACCAGGGGGACACGGGGGAAAGCACTGAGGTGTGCACAGAGAGCAAAGGCACCCCCAGGGCAGAGGCAGAGCAGAAAAAAAATCTGCAAGGCCATGCTGGGCAATTACAGGAGCAGTTGAGCAGAAACAGGTGGCTCAGACAGCTTCAAAGAGAGACAAAACAGCCAAAAAACTGCTAACTTTGAAATTTATCACTGTAATTAAAAGTTGATAAGCTGCAATGGTCACCATTGTTACCACCTGGCCCTGAGAGGCTTTTCGTGTAACATCGCCTGTTTTAGTAAAATGGTGCCCTTTTTCCTCTATCTGTGAACAATGAGAAAAATATTGAGAGAAAGAACTGCATTTGTTAAAGTTAACTTTGTGAGGTTTTTCTTTCTGTTTTCTTCTCTGCGAGAGTATGTGGGGGATGACAGAGACTTTGCTCAAGCCTTCTAGAGTTAACAGCAGAGAGCAACAGCAGAGAGGGCAGTTCATGTACTTTTTTTTTTTCTTTAAAAAATGGGGGAAATTGATGCCTTAGAAGCATTTGATTAATGTAATTCATTAACTTCAAGGGGAGAAATGCCTGTGTTTTGTTGACAGGTTCAAAAAGGTCACCTGTTCATCTGACCAGACTGTCTGCCTCTGAACAGATGAGATCCAGTAAACACAGACGTCACCACACAACCTTGGTACTCCAAACAGGATCAGAAGTGGAGCTGTCAGGACACAGTTGTGTCTGAGCTCTACACAGACAGTTTGCCAA